CTCAACTATGCAAATCAAGTTGAGAGTTTTTAATGCCAAGCAACACACCACAATCTTGTAATTTTATATTAGAACCAGGAGACAGAAAAACAGGAAATTCTGAAAGAAGTATATCTTAAGAACAGATCAGAAGGCAAAGACAGAAAGATATCTAATCTAACCCTTTCAAGTTTCAATTATTCAATGTTCCATGTTCTGCGCTTCAAAATAAATAAGATAAAGATCAAATCTTTTACTGCAAAAAACCACTCAATATACACTCTTGTCAGAAAGAACAATCGGAATATATGGCTATTTCAATCCTCAGCTTTAGATCAAAAAGGGATTTTACATGTGATCTTACCTACACAAGCAAAGCGAAAGTAGAAGACAGTAGACTACTGTATATTGATTGCAAAAAGATCAGGAAAATAGGAGTTTCCCTGCTATGGGTCCTAAATGTGAAATCCAAAATTTATTCACAAATGAGAGAGGTAGTCAGTCAATAAAAAAAGTTGGTAAACTCCGGAGATATGTTTGAAATAAAGTAAGTGGAAATGAGAGACCCCAAGATTCAAAAGACTTAAAGCAAAATCACTAAAACGAAAAAGGAAGAAAAGGACGAACAGATGAAGTGGATTTGTCAACAATTTAATCTTATTATACTGAATTCCTCAAAAGCATACCAAGAACAAATCGAACGCTATTCACTCTGATATGGAGGGAATTATTAACTTAACTAGGTCCGTTCATCAATTCAACTGTAAAAATCCATAACTAAAAAAAAGTATTCTTGCATGATGATTTTGACAAACAAGAAAAGCCCAAACAGATAAATAAATACCTGAAAGTGGGTTATACTCGAGCAGAGGATGCTCTTTCTGGGGATTCGATCTCAAAACATGGAAGACTAGAGGGGATTTGGGCCAAGATTGGAACTTTGGGTTTCTGGAATAAGGCAGGAAATGAAGGATGTGGAACTGTGGAAGCCAAGAGAGGCTATTGCTTTTCAAAGGTGGGGGCTGTGAGCTGGAGTGGGAGTGGTAAAAGAACAAACACGGAACGTGCAGCTGACGGATGGGACTATAGGCGGCGGCGCCGTGGCGGTGGTGGTGGGGGATGTGGCTTTGCTCTTTACGTTATTATTATTACTCGTATTGTCATTATTGTTATTAAAGAAAGCCCACTACCCTGTCACCGGTCGGCATCCATACAAACAGCAGCAGAGGAGCATTCTTATTTAATTGCTGGAGAAATTATCACAAACAACTCGTGACTGGAAATGAGAATATCCCCACATTTTTTTAACATTTTATCACAATTAACTTGTTTGAGATCACTCATATTCATCATGTGCATAAGAAAATGATAGAGCAATGATACAAGATGCTTATTTTTATCTTATTGTCAACGTTGATTCTCAGAGTGATTGATACCGGAGTATGTGCTTTTGTGTATCTAAATGTCAGATTAAATAACCTTATCTAGGTTTGTAATTTTTAGTTATCTTTTTTAATCAAATAAATTTAATTTAACCACTTAATTACGGTATCAGTTTTTAATTATATTCTTATTTTCCTTCAAAAAATTATATTCTTGTTTGAATTTTGCAAATTATAGAAATTTTAATGTTGCTTTTAAATATATAAATTGTAACTATATAAGTTGAATTAGTTATCAATACGAAATATTTAACTTTAAGATTGGTTGCTTATAAATTGACTATGTAAATTTAATTGGGACAGAGAATATATTTTTTGTGGAATAAAAAATGAGTAAAGGGTCAGTTTGGTCCTCGAAGTTGCAAAAAAGGCGTCAAATAAGTCCTTATATAGAAGATTCTGTCCGGACGTGCTATTTGATGTAGCGAATCAAATTATGAATTTTTCTCCAATCATCACTATAATGATGTACCAATGGAAACGGTATATGATTATATGTTCTCAATTATGAGAACAGAGATACATTGGACGGGAGCCAACGAAATTAGTATGCTCAAAGTTTTAGATATGATCATGTAACCAACATACAGTTGGTAAGGAATAGATATGATCATGGATTGTAATCTTTTATAGTAGTATGACTTATTGTTAAGGAATAAAAGTACGAAGCTAATATGAGAGAAAAGTGCATCTATTATTTTCAAGCTCTATCTAAAAACTCTCAAAAACACTTCACGTGTTTCTCACTGATACTACACAACTTTTCTTGATTGTGTTATGATGATCTATATCTAAAATACTTGATGATAGATACAAACTTCTCTATTTATAAGATCAAAACCAGGTAGTAGAAAACAAGAAGGAAGGTGGATTGAAGTTTAAAGGAAGATTTAATGATGATTGAGATGAAGGTGACTTATAAATGTGTGAAAACTTCTCTTGTCCTTCTTGGATAGGTAGGAAGTTTCATGATGTTGTTAAGGAAGTTTCACACATTTTTCTCTTTTGCTAGAACTACAATAGATAACACCGTTTACATCAATTTTGAGAGTTGAGTGCATTATTTCTTATTTTTCTCTTGTTTACTCTACTTTTTGTTTGAGTTATTTTATTCAAACTAATAATTGCGGTCGGTTTTTACTTGGCGAGTTAGGGATGACCTAATGTAAAGCACTTTGAGTTTAATGAGATAAACAAAATGAATATAATGAGAAGGTAAATTATAAGTCCCAAGACTTACACGATTTTGATCAACTTTTAGTACGTAGTAAGGTAGTATACTCTTTAGTATAGGGAAAATAATGAAAAATTAGAAATGATTGAAAATCGATTGAGGAACACATTGGATATCCCCTCTATTTACAATATTATTTGGTAATGTAAGTAAATACTAATTTATTAAAACATACTCGGTATTCATTATAAATGGTGTATATTCATTGCACAGATCTCTCTTAAAACTAAGTTACTCTTAAAGTTGTATAAGAACAAACTACATGAGTCTTGAATAATATAGAAGATAAAAACTATGAAAGAACAAGCAAAAAGATAGAAAGAGCATATCTAAAACTCTAACTAACATGGATAAGCAAGAGCATAATCACTATATCAAAATATATGATGCAAATGTTGGAGTAACATAATTTTGCCACTCCACAAAGTTGTACAATAAACTTGTGTGGCATACACCATTGAAATTTAAACATGTAGCTCATTTGCACCGTTAAAGAGTTTCTACAATATAGTTGAAAACCATTACTTCATCCATTTTGAAAATAACTTCACAATTTCAATTTATATTTGTACTTCTATTTTAAGTCAAATCAAATAAAAAATGAGTAAAAAGTAAAAACAATTATGTCATTTATTGTTGAATGTTTTCTTTCTATATAGACGTGGGTTATTTTGAGAGACCGAAATAAGAAAGCGAGAAGTTCTATTGAGGACGGGAGTAATATATGTTTCTCGAATACATTACACTTTATTTTCTATGCAATGTGTGCATAAAAGTTCACGGTCATTCACATTTCACAATACTTGATTTGTTTTTATCCATTTCCAAAGTTGACTAGAAATTGGATAATCATGTAGTGTGTAGATTATTTTGAACTTTTAGTACATTTCTAAGCACACATAATTATACTTGAAATTTTCTTATTACTCACATGTTACAACCTCCCCGTTTTCCATCTTTTGCATGAATTACTAAGCCATTTCTTTTACACTTCTAATCTCAAAATTCATGAATTTCTATTCACAGCCCAAGGGCTTATAGGGACCGTTGGTGGTCCAATACTCCAATATCAACTCATAGTCAACAATGAGGTAAACTCGAAATTTTATTCCTACCCCCTCTCATTCTCATAATGGGGAGGTAGTGTATGTGTAAATTATAAAAAGAAGGAATTTTATCAATCCAGGACCCGAAAGATAGACGAATGATCAATATGGGACCTGAAATATCAAATGCATCGATATATGACCTGAATAATGAAAAACATCAATTTAGAACCTGAATGATTGAAAACTATTAATCTAAGATGTAAGTTGTCATAAATTTTATTACTACTTTTATTTTTTTAAAATTAAATAGTATTTAGCTAGTTTTATTAAACTCATAAACTTTTGTTAAGAAAAGTTTATAAAAAATTAGTAATGGAATTAATAAAAAACTAGTATTTAACCCGTGTGTTGCATGGGATATCAAACTAAAAAAAATACTTGTAATGTCATTTATTATATTCAAATACTTTCGAACAACGTATTCAAAGAACTTTAAAATTAATATGAGTTGAAACAGATAGTAGCTAGATGTTAACATCCAAACTAAGAACCTTTACGAATTTAAGTTATAAAACTGTAATCATAGCAAATACATAATCATATGTAAGCCATTGTTCATCGTCCACGTGATTTATTAAATTCTATATACATAATATTAGTGTCATATGAAAGATCATAAAATTATGAAATTTGATATATTTTTTATAAAAATTGGAGCACAAATTAAAAGTTTTAATACATTTAAAATAATTTTTAATTTACATGATATTTATCTGCATAAAGTAGAAGTTCAACACTTCAGCTCCAATTTGGATTGGTCGTGGTCTGTCAACATCTCTTCCCGCTAGCAAGTTATTTGAGACATGGACTCCACTATTAGATCTCTATATGACAATAATACATATCCAAAATTGTGAATAACAAAAGCAGAAGTTATTATCATTATTTTCATTTGTCCCAACTATAATCCGATGACATTAGCATCGTAAGACTACGATAAATTAGAACAGCAAAGCCCTGACTTCTTCTCCAATTTATAAGTGTTGTAACATACGTAATTCAATTGGAATCATTGGAAAGTCACCACACTAAATCAATCTTATTCAAAAGAACTTGGAAGGGGACAATTCCAAAAATTAGGAAATAATAAATGAATGTGATATTGGCCACTAAGGAAGATAGTAGGGGGGCTTTTTATTGGGCTATGCAATACGACTGATTGGTTATAATTAATGATCATGTTTATTAACTTAAAAATAATTAAATACGAAATATTCTAAAATTAAACCTACTATTGGGTCATATAAGCTACTCTTTCATTCAAAATTTTATGCTCAAAATCAACACACTATCTAAGGAGAGTGGGAGACTAGGAGAGTGGCTATTTTGAAGTCCATTTTTCATCGTCCACTATTGAACTTTTTGTAATTGGAGTTTTCAGGAGAATGAAATTTAGCCATATGGCATTGAGTATAACATGTTGTATGGATATGAAAATATCCTCAAAACTTATCACTCCTTATCGTCTAAATCAAACATCAGCATCAGCATCATTGTGAGATGGTTTGTTTTGAATCCATCAGTAAGGCAATAATCATGTTTGATGATCCACTGGAAAAGTAGAACCATCACTATTTGTTATGGCTTATGATCATAGACCAAGTGTCCAACATTGCTGTAACTTTTGCAGACGCTATGACTTTTAGAAATTGCCTGATTTCACTGCAGCATTGCCTGTTTCAACAAATTCTCCTTGCAACATATATAAGCAAAAAAATTATTTTCAGCGTGTAAGTGCTAATTGCATAAATTGGTTGTTAAAAAACGCTTGCTTGATTTATCACTATCCACATCTACAATCTTGTCATTAGTAGTTGAGTGTATAATAGAAGGAAAAACTAAACAAATAAATCCTTGGGGAGTGTTTGCAACCACTTAAAAAAAGCATTTCTTAGCTTTTGGCTTAAAAAGCACTTATTTACCAAACACTACCAATTTTTACTTTTTATTTTTACTTATTTACACCAATTGCGTGTAAAAGGTTAAACCTAACCTGCGATAGCACAAATTTTACACACAGTTTCAGCTTTGCATATTTAGATTTAAGTATTCAAGTTGCTATTCGTATACTATGGCTATTTCCAGAGAAATACGGAGGCAGTGGTATATGTGTTTTGTTATTGAAGTTGTTATTCAAGTTGTAATTTGTATACCTAGTTCCAGATTGGGTATTTGGACTCGTCTGGGTTATTCGAACTTGATAAATGTAATCCTATTTATCTTACTAGTTTTGTTGTTTTCGTTGGGGATTTTACATTTGTTTTTTCAATTTCATGGCAGGCTATTGGGTTGTGTTTTGTTACTCCCTAATATTCTGTATTTATTTTTTATGGGGAGTTTTCTAGTTTTTTGTTCAAAGTTATTCCAGGTTTTTGTTTGTTCTTTGAAGTGTTAGGTTATACACTTACAATTGTTTCTTTCGTTGTGTTTTCCCTGCTTTTTTGGTTCATTACAGTGACCGTTTTTTGTTGTATTTCAAAATATTTGTTGAAGTATTGTGCTAGGTTTGATTACTCCAGTGAAAACCAACAGGAAGTATACTACTTATATTATTATTTGGTTTTCACTATTTCTTTCCTAGTCTTTCTGTAGTTTGCTTGTGTATTATTTATATTCTGTTTTTTTTTTGTTTCAGTTTTTGCTGTAAATTTATAGGTTTTGCAATGTTTTAACTTGTTTTTGCTTGTTGTTTTCATTGTGCTAATAAGCAAAACCCCTTTCCTACAGATTTTTCTTAGCGGTTAATGTATGATTATGCTTCTATCCATTAGTGATAAAAATGGTTTTATAGCTAGAGCAGTAAAAATTCAACCCAAATTTCTTTTCAGATTATGAAGTACACTTTTGAAAATTTATAATCTGATATTAATTGCCTCAATCTAAAATCTGGCCTGGCATAAAACTCTGTCTCTTTGCATTTTTGCATGAACTTTTAGTGCTAAGCAATTTTAGACAATTAATTGTGTTGGGTGTGTTTCAAAATCACTTTTTTCCTCATTGAACCCACTTCTTCAAAAGTGTAAAATAAATTCTTTTATGATACTCCAATGCCTAGAGAAGTAATGCAATCACAATTTTGGAAAACCCATCAGTACCCCTACCCCAATAAAAAATAATCAGAATACTAAGCAACCATAACTTCATAATTCATATAAGTGCACACTAAATTCATATAAAACTAAATTGATACAAACTAAAATAATTTTAAGGGGGTCATTTTAATGGAGGTTCATTATTGAGCAAAGTGTTAATGGAAGGTGAGAATCAAACTCAACTACCACATTTTGGAGCAATATGGTGCATAGGGATTGAAATATCTTACTTGCTAGAAAACAGCAAGGAAAAGCAAAACAAAATCAAACAGAAAAATGAAGAAGAAAGCAAAAATAGATCTGAAAAGAAAAGAAAAACAGACTGAGAAAAACTATCCAAGCAAGGACTTTCACAATTATATATGCTCTGAAACTAAATTGTGCAAAGTAAAATTAATTAAAGGGGGTTATTTTACATATGAAATTAATAAAAAAAGATATAAACTAAATCTACAATAATAGTTGAAGAACCATATTGAGATTAATCCCTGAAAATAATGAATACAAAGTGTAACAGTTAAAATACTAACCTGCAAATTGGGGCGCCAAGCCTCAATCAAAATATTAATGGAGGGTGAAAATCAAACTCAATGACCAGAAATTTTGGAGCAATATCGTGAATAGAGATTGAAATATCTTTTCTGCTAGAGAAAAGCAAGGAAAAAACACAAAAATCAAACAGAAAAATGAAGAAAGCTAAAGTAGATCTAAAAAGAAAAGCAAAAACATATTGGGAAAAAGTATCCAAGCAATGACTTTCACAATGACAGGTGCTCTAAAATATCAATATGTTCACTTTGACTTTTTTTTGGCAGAGCAATTCAGTTTGATTTTTTTGGCAGAGGAGCCCAGTTTGATTTTTTTGGCAGATCAATGTTGTTTGTTGTTGTTGTAGGAGTCCACTTTGACTTTTTTTGGAAAAGCAGTTCAGTTTGACTTTTTTTGGGCAGAGCAATTTAGTATTACTAAACAATGTCTATTAATTACTAAACCACCAATACTTTGAAGTAAAAAAATATTAAGAAGGATCGAAAGTAATATTGTAAGCTTTGAAACTAAATTACTATCTCACTCCTAAAAAAATTATATTCGACCAATGTAAAACTATAAAAAAAATATGGAGACATAAAACCCTTAATTCCAAGGAATAATCGACCCATCAAAATACCTAAATATGTCAATAGTTTGGGTAAACTTGTGAAAGAAATAACAAAAATAGAAATAGGAATATAAAGAGGCTTTAGAGCTATATAGTGTAATGAAATGAACTTTACAGCTTCATATTATTTTTCTAATCATGAACAATATTCTTGTGTGGTTGAGTCAGATACCTTGATAATGGGCCTAATGGCCTCTTCCCTTCAACAAAAGACACTATTCAAAAATAATAATACTTTGAAGTACCTCTGCACTAGACGTCACCATATCATTTCACTCCTCTTAAGAGTTGCTTCTTACACCATCTAAGCATACGATGACTAACCAAGAATGAGAGTGTATTTGCTGAATTCAGTGTACTATTTTTTTACAGTCTTAGCCCATGAAGATAACAAAACAGTCTCTCATAAAATACTTACCAGCAAATTGGAGCACCAAAAGGTGAAAGTCGAACTGGACAAACAGAAAGCTAGGTGTGCACATTTGAGGGATTGGTTTCACCTGTAAATGTCAGTAAACGAAGTCCTCTGAAGAAAAAGTCGGAAATAGGGATGACGTAAAAGGATTAACTCTACGAACAAATAGCGAGTGAAGTTATGCAAAAGTCCTTAAGGGATTAGGCAGGATGCTTAATTAGATATAAAAAGATTATGACACTAACTATAAAAACGGACATACCAGATAATTTTCAATACCACTATATGCCCATCTTAATGTTGATTAAATGTACAAAATAGGCATAGCTGTGAAAAGTTGATCATTTCATATTTATTTTCATATAAAGTATACACAAATTAGTTTGGATATTAAATTTCAGGATTTCAAAAGCACCTCTATCACCCCTACATATTCTATAATGTATAATTAATTAGGAAAAAGAAAGAGACAAATAAACAATGAGTCAAATATTTGGTATTATTTTCATACCTATGCAAATCAGTCAGTTCTCTATTAATCTGCCCAAATGTAAAGTTTCCCTAATTATATTTTTGAGACAAACAATGCACCTTTACAATTCGCAACTACCCGTTTATCAATTGTACCTATTTAGGAGCTTTGAAGAGTCTAACTAAAGAAATTCTAACAAATTAGAAGACATTGTCTCATCACAATAAACTTAATGTACAGACCAGGTGAAACAATGCAAATTTCCAATAGATCTCCATCATATCATCTCCCCTGCAAATGCAACAAAAAAGATATAACAATGCAAACTGGCTATATTAATTCTCCAAGAAAATCGGGTAAAGAGAAATGCCATATTGTAATTAGTCTTCTTTGTACCTTCTCACCTGAGCGAATATAGTGGCTCCAAACTTGCAAACATTAGAAACGAAGCAGCAAATTTGAACCTAGTAAGTAAATGAAGCAAATGGGGAATTCCATATTGTAATCAGTCATTTGTGTTCGATAAGTAGTGCGTATAAGGCAGATTTATGATACTAAATGAGATGAAAGCACGTAAAGTAAGCCATGAGAAAATATCAGATGCTAATTAGTCGTGATTTGACCAAGTGTATTTTAAATTTGGCCATGAAATTAAACTATCACATTTCCAACCTATATAGTTAATGTGGCTTAATTGGAAGGTTTTATTTTCTCTAATGCTATTTAAAAACAAAGAAAAATGACCCAAACATTTCACCAAAAATCACATAGGAGATTAACAATATTCAAAGAAGAGCCATCATATTTATACTTTTATAGTAATGCACACGAAAATGAAAATACAAACTGGGAGAAAAGCCAACAAAATCAGCACAACAAAACTCAATTTACTTTATTACAATCTACGTAAAAAAAATTAACGGAGTATGAAAGAAGGAATCCTAGAATATTTCATGAAAACTCTAATAAATCAAACGAAACGGAAATAAAAACTGAGAAAAATTCAATGAAATCAGTACAAATAATATATGCATTTTGTTTCTTCACTTTTCTCCTTTCAAATTTTCTGGATCTCCATAAATTCTGATAATTTTAATAAGGGGTAGCAAATAAGGTATGATGAAGAAGAGGATAGAGAGAACTATAAATTTATTCATGTAAGAGGGGAAATTGAAAGTCAGGGAAGAGGATGAAAGAAGACGACTTTAAAAAAAAAGGATGAAGGAAGACGAGAACATCGTGGAGAACATAGATGGGAATGAGGTTTCTACCTGTTTGGAACCGAGTAAAGATAGATCGGAACAATTCTGAGGAGCTGTTGAGATGTGTTGTTGGTGCAATAGCCACCTCTGGAGACTCCCAAAGGCTCTTGATTATCTCGATAAATGGAAAGGGAAAGAAATCTAAAGCAAGAATGTACCAATATGAAAGGGAGTCCAAACAGGCTGCGTCTAATGTGCACGGTTGAAGAGCTGAAGAGATTTAAGAGAATTACGAAAATACCCTAAATTATGAGCGGGAAGAGACTTAGCTCGATTAATAAATATATAGATATAGATATAGATATAGATTAAATAAATCAAAATATATGAAATGTTAAGTCCTAAATTGATAGTTTTCCATCATTCAGGTCCTATACTGATACGTTTCATCTTTCAGGTCCTGAATTAATAATTAATCTATCTTTCGGGTCCTGAATTGATAAAATTCCTAAAAACAAACCTTACAAGTCTCTTTAAAGGTATAAGAAAAAATATAAAAGAATATGGAATTAAAGGAACAAAAAATTAAATAGGCATTTTCACAAACAAATAGTGTACATAAGAAATCTCTCAAAATCTTCCAAAGTAAAACTACAAATATATTAGATCACATGGTTTGATGATCCTTGATTACCCCCAATCTCTAATCCTACCACTAACTCATGATTAAGTCCAATAAAGCAATGTGTATGATAAAGATCAATCATAGTGGATTTAATGAAACCAGAACAAGGAATTCACATACATAATACAAAAAATGCAGTGGACAAGAGTTAAGGAGATTTATAACTCAATGGTAAGATTTGTATTTAAAAAAATTATCAGAAACTATACAATTGAGAGCAATATGTTATTTATAAACGAGGTAGAAAGAAAAAGACTGAGAGGAACTGCATCCCATTGAGGGGTAACGCTGAGAGGGAAAAAGTTCCTTTTAATGTTCCTCCTTCCAAACAAAATTGATCTATAACAGGTTGTGGGTAATAGATCTACAACATTCTCGGTGAAACACAGGGAAGAACATAGCTCTCTTTACCATTCCTCCACTGGAACGTGTAATGGAACAAATTTAGGGAACATCGGGAGGAACGTCGTTTCTTTTTATTGCAACACTGAAAAACGAATGTATATATTCTCAAGGCGACGTTCCTTTGGGTTATTATTATGTCCAAAACTCCTCTGACGCCTTCAATTTGTACTTCTTTATGGTACTCTACCTTCATGATCTTCAAATCATCCAATTATACTCCATATCATAGACTCTTCTAGCTGCTCGTTTTCACCCCATGGTCAATGTAGTGTAAAATTGAATATAATTAGAGTAACTAAAAACTGTTAATTATGATATCACAATTATATGTCATTGTTTCGTAAAATAAAAGGTTACTTATGTAGTCCTTCCCAATGCTAGTCGTATCAAAATCAGTCGTTTTTTTTTTGGAGAAGATGCATAAACTTGAAGTAAATTAAAAGAGAGCTAAATAAAAAATGTCAAGATCGGGAACTATGCTTTATGACTTCATGTGGATGGTCATTATGATAAAGGTCATATTAGTGTTCAATAGACGATGATAGCCTCTAAGTACTCTTCCATATTCTTTTATTTCAATATTTGGGGAAAGTTTGTTCATAAAAAAAGTGTAAATCAAGATGCAACAGACACCCCAAAGTACTTAAACTTGATTTTTTGGAGTTTATTAAGTACTTCTGTAATTCCAACGTTAAGAAAGTAAGGAAAGAACCGTTTGTTTTATACTACGTACGTTAGTATCCTAGTCAGCATCCTAGTAATCGAATATCACTTCTTCCCGCAGCTTCTTACATACGGATTATTATCATTTTCTTTCTTCTCTTACCTTCTCTATTCTTATTTTGCTTTCTCTCTTCTACAGTGCTCTGAATTTTCTTCTACTTCTTCTTCTTCTTTAGTTTAGCTTACTCTTCTCTTGCTATCTAATTCTTTAAACTTTGGTTTAAAATTGGGAAAAAGAGACAACGTAACTCTAGCAAATGTCAGATTCATTTCTAGGTCATTCAGTTTTACATAATCGTCCACAACCCGAGTTTGAACCGTTGGATTATTATGATTTTTCAGTTGAGGTTTCTGGATGTATATTTCTCCATTATGAACGGTGGAGATCTGGTTTGGAGGTCTGGAGGGTTATCATTCAGGTGGACAAATTAATGACTTAATCTTCTCTCTTTTAGTAGAGTTCTGTAATTTCTTGGTTAGTTTCTATTTCTAGAAAAAATAAAATTCAAGTTTGCTTCGATGTTACTTTAATTATGTGAGCTAATTTAATTATGTGAACTACAATAGTAGCACTAACAACAGCCTTGCCTCACTTGTGAAACCATTATATTGAATAACTCAACAGTCAACTAATAGCTCATAAGATCTAAAATTCTCAAAGAGTCCATGAACATGAACATGAACATGAACCGTACGTAGTACATACCCTAAAACTCGTCTCTCTTGCAATTAGGAATCAATTCTGAGAGAAACCTGTGTTTATGCGTTGTCATCTACAGTTTGAGAAACTATTCCTTCGTCAATGTTGAAGACTACTATGGTGACATGTAACCTTTTAACCACTTCAACAACAATTTAGCCATGTCATCATTTTCAGCAAAAATTTTGGCCAAGTCACCGATTTTTTAACGTCTGTTTGACGGATGTACTTAACCGACACAAAAAATTCAAGTTTATGTACTTTGGTGTATCAAATGCAAAATGATGTACTCTTTATGCTATATGAGACAAGTTAAAGTACCATTTTGATACTTTTCTCTAAAAAAAATAGGAGTTAGCATACTTCACTTTGCACTTCATTTAGTTCTCTATCTATATTCCCAACTCCGCTCAAGCTAAGCAAAACATGGTTGAGTTGTCTAATTATTTCATTCGGATGGATAAGTAATTCGTAATTATGAGTGGCTATTTCTGTAATAGCTCATTTTCCTCCTTTGTTATTGTTGCACTCTGACATCAATAGAGGGAATTGAATTATAACCTACTAAAACACTTTAAAAAGTACTGTTATGAAATTGGGGTTATGTCAAAAAATTAGCTATGGTTTTTTTAAGATTATGGCTATTGGCTAGTAAGCATTACACTTAAATTTCTCTTAATTCTTAGCGCCTTTAATTGATAGTGACTTGACCCTCCAGATCTCCACCATAATGACCTCTGCTGCAATGACCTTTGCCACTGTCGTGCAAACCGCAGCGACAATGACTAGATGATAATGACAGTGACCACTCATTCAGCTAATGATTACCATCGTCCCGACGGTGACCACTACCGCCTCGGCCGATAACCACCCGTGTCCCACCAGTGAGTCAGTGACCATGCCAAACATAGTAACAACTGGAACACAGTGACCACTGTCGCGTGATTTGATTTAGAGTTTGACTGTTTGAGTACGATTTAAAATTTGAGTTTGGTGAGATTAAACTTAATTAAGAATCGAGTCAATTTCAAACAAATTACAAATTGACTTATTCAATTAACACCCTGTCTCGTTCACATAATGTGAAAGTGATTATAATAACTACCAAAAACTGGTATTAGCATAACGACTTAGATGGAAGAACACATAATGACGGTCATTGAGGATGTTTTCTTTTGGACTGAAATTTGTTGGTCTGGTCTAGTCTGGTCTGATCTGATCTGGTTTGAACTGGTCTGTTATGGTAAACGTCTGATCTCTGTGTATTTTATAACTACGGAAGTCTGGTCTAATCTAGTCTGCTCTGATTTGGTCTGATCTGGTCTAAAGAGTCCCCGATCATACCACGTCATCGAATTGGATTCGAGGCGCTATACCGTGGTATCATCCCACGATGAGGACCATACTCCTGCTCTTAAAACGATGTAGTTTTGCACAACTTTTAATTAAAAAAATTCACGCGTGAACAGTAACACGCGTGAACAGTAGGTTTTAATTTTTTATTTTTTGTCCCAGTAATATCGTGATGTAACTCGCGTGTAAAGAAGTGTAACTCACGTTGATAAGAAATGTAACTGTAGGTCAGTTGAAATGTAACTTATCCAATACGATGCCTAAGAGATGAAACATTGATTTCAATGTAAACAATGAAAAAAAGAGTAACTACACAATTATTTTACATAAATTGTGAATATGTTTTGTTTTTAATATCATGACCAGGATTTTAAAAAATCAATTTTTCTGTTTCATGTAACTCAATACATGATTTATTTATGTAACTCATGTTATCACAAGTGTAACTCGCGTTGATGACAAATGTAACTTGCGCTTTAGAAGATGTAACTCGCTTATAAAATAATGTAACTTAAGCATAAAAATATGTATATGTAACTCACACAAATGAATATGTAACTTCATACCATTAGAAATGTAAATATTTTTAACAAAAATGTAACTTTTTAACCCAAATCTACTTTTCAAGAAACTAGCAGGCCTTCCCAAAAAAAGAGAATCAGAGAGCATTCTTAAAAAAAAAAAAAAAAAAAAAAAGAGCACCACGGAGCACTTGAAACGGGCCAGCAAGAGAGCAAAATAGAGGTGACCGGGCTGGAGCTCCTCGTCGGTGCTGATGGCGGAAACGTCGTCGGAGTTGCAGATGAGAACCGTGGGGTCCTGAAAGAGATTGGAGGCTTTGATGGGGAAGGGAAACTGTTGTAGCTCCCATCTTCAAGAATCAACTTCGCCATGGGAGGTGACTCAGTTTGGTGTAGTGAGTTGAACTCCTTTCTAGTAGCGATTCCAGCAATGAAGGGAAGAGGAGAAGCGATCTAATTGTGTGGTTTAGCTAAATCCGAATCTGATAGGGCACGAATCTGCAAATCTGAAGAAAGTCGGTCATTTTTAATAATCAAACGGCACCGTTTGAAATCGGGAGCACCATGCTCACCGTGGGATGATCCCACGGTATAATTTGCGATTGGATTCAGTGTGATCTGTTCTCGTCCAGTTAAACTACACAGGCGGATAAGGTGACGGTCCTACGTGGCATGATCGGCCACTCGTCCCTCCACATTTCTAGACCTCTTCCAAACTAGACCTCTTCATTACTCCGACACGAGAACTCAATATCCATGGCTTCTCCCACCATAATCAGCCCCGCCGCCGCCGCCGCCGCCGCCCCTTTTAAACCAATCCTAACCCCAACAAGATTTCAATCAATTTCTGCCGCCTCTCGCAATGCTATTACTTCCAACCGCCGAGAGTTCATCTCGCTTTCCGCCGGGATATTCTGCTCTAGTACTCTTGCCGCCGCCCTTCCCGCCCGCGCAGCTTCCGACGAGGAGTACGTAAAGGAAACTACGGAGGTGATCGGAAAAGTCAGGTCGACGATGGGGAAAGAAAAGGGGGACCCAGATATAGTAGATGCGGTGGCCGATCTAAGACAGGCCTCGAATTCATGGGTGGCGAAGTACCGGAGGGAGAAGGCACTCCTCGGACGGCCGTCCTTCCGCGACATCTACTCGGCACTGAACGCCGTCTCCGGGCACTACATCAGCTTTGGGCCGACGGCACCGATTCCGGCAAAGAAGAAGCAGAGGATCTTGGAAGAGGTGGAAACCGCAGAGAAGGCGTTGCAAAGAGGAAGATGATGCTGTTTTTTGGGCGTATCTTTAATTTTACCTTTGCTCTGTAGATGCTGGGTTTTCTTAAGATTGTCATACTAGCCATGTTTATTCCCAGAAACAGGAAATTCTTGAAAAATCTAAGTTAGTATGGGGTCTATATTCATAAATTGTGGGCGGGATTTGTTTTGAACTGGACTGAATTGAAGAGTTATTATAAAATTCAAAACAACTATAAGGGTGGTTTAAAGAGAAAATGAAAAAGTTTATATTTTTAACAAGCATAAATTTGACCAACGGTGACCTACATTGTATTCAAATGCACTACGTAGTGAGAGCGAATGCAATGTCCAGGCCTGCAATTGATCTATGATGAGAACCCCTTTCAGTGGAAGCTTGCATTCCAGTTTGTCCAGTAGGTGATATTAGTTGATTCTCTTATTACTTCCCTATCAAAATCAGTCTTGTTCTTTTCCATTATATTAATATAATCTCTTGGATAATGATGAAAACATGTTTGATCTATAATAAGAACCAGCCTCCTTGAGTTGGTGTGATCTTTTCCTCCAGGTTGTCAGGCAATTTGGGATCATTATGTATGATAATATCATGGCAGTGTGAGACTCTCTAGTATTCTCTTGGAGCTACAAGTATTTTGAAAGAAAGGGAGATGTATTTCATTGCTAGAACTTTTGCCATCATCCCTTTCCTCCTGTTCTCCACCTTCTTTCCAATAACAAAGATGTTTTGTTTAGGCTCACCACTATTGCTTGAATTGAACTCTAATTTTCAGGTTTGATCTCACTTGGTGAGGTTTAGGTCTTGGATTTGTTAGTTTGTTTTTATCTAGTCTGATATATTTCTGAGGTTAAAATCAGACCAAGTGAAAACATGTGTATTTATCTGCAACGAGAGGGGGCAGGCCGCGGAGCCTTACCCGTTATGAAAGAATCTGTTTTCTAGTATGGACTATGGAGTGCCCTCTAAGTTTGAAAGGTAGTATTGTTTAGCATTACATGGCAAGTAACTGAGCGAGTCAAAAACAGTCAATGACGAAATATCAAGACCTTGAGATGGCAAAGCTTGGTTCCTTTGCTGAAGGGAAGAAAAAGTTGCATCGACTTTGGTCGACATCTCTAGCATTTCTGAGATGAGTCCTTTGATCTTCAGGGGATCTGCTCATATATACAAAGATAGGGAGTCGGATTCCGCCTGCATATTTGAGTAACCCTTTTCATAATATCAGAGTGTAAAGCTTTGAATAATGTAACTCCTGCATGTAGAGGAGATACTGCATCAATAGGAAAGGCAAGTGCAATCAATAAAAGACCTTGTTCGTTTTTTTCTACTAGCTCCTCTAGCAGCATCCTCATTCACATTGGCAGCATTAGTATTAATTTTAAGTTTATTTCATTCAGGTCTGGTCCAGACCTGAATTATTAGCAAGTATTAAAGGAGTTCCAAGGCTAGTTATAAATAGCGGAGGTAACAAGCCCCTCTTCTTCTGGAAATCAACTTTTCTAACATATTTGAATCATTCCACCTTGAAGCACCAAGAGTCTAAATGATATTTCATCTGGTCCACACCCATGATAAAGAAACTAGTTCATTCCTCTAAGTGCAGCTACAGAATTTTCTTCCATTTATTAATACTAGGAATGAAGAGTTAGAGAGGGGAATACAAATAAACAAGCATTGGTATAACAGCAACTTTTGAAAATACAACTACACGTCGAATGTTACGAGCACACCCACGCAAATTCCGAGGAGATCACCACGAGACTGGTAATCAACAAAGAAAGATTCATATGTATAAGGCTGCAACTTTCCAAAGGTTGGGAGATTATTTCACAGCTTAGAAGACTCCACAAAATCAGCAATAACATTGTAATAGAATCTTTTAATTATGGTTATTTTATTCCTATTAAACAAGGCTGTAGCACTCGTGGGCATCAGACTTTCGAAAAAACAATTGCTTCTCTTGTTTCCTTTACTTATTCTTGTGATCAATTGGACTTGGTGAGCACTCGAAGTCTGTGTCTTAACATTGAAGCACACATTAAGGCACTAATCTACTTTTTATCTTCCACTTGCCTTCTTGCTTCCCTGGCTGGACTCTGGAGAGCCTGAGAATGTTTTTACTTGGATTGAAATTTGGTCTCTGTGTATTTTATAACTATCCAAGTCTGGTCTGATCTGGTTTGGTATGGGACTGAAAACAGTCAAGTAAAAACATCCTTAGAGCTCAATTTTCTGACAGTGCGTTGGGTAGATGCATGTTTGTAGTGATGTCTGCGGCTTCTACGTCAGCTGACAAAAAGAAGTCCTGCTATCAGAACCATTCCCTCTGTTGCCTAAGATACCGTTTCGCTGAAAAAAAATCTCCCCATCCCCAGTGTTTGAAACCTTCCAGTGTGCTTGAACTGTGAGCAGTTTTGGCCAACTTGGAGTTTGAGAGTCCCTACTAGATTTGCCTCCATAGCCATAGCAAGGCACTTCTTCTGGATGATTACTCATCATAGGTTTGTCTGAGAAACAGGCAATTGGGTGCCATTGGAGATCCATTCTGAGGCCCTGCAGCAAACAAAGTCATTCACTTCGCAAGGTGCAAGAACCTGTGTCTTTGTGTCAACTGCAAAGTACACTCTATCATAGAGAGAGGCACACATAAGTAAAGGTCCGGGCTGGACCCCAACATATGGATTGTGTATAGACTGGTGAGGCTTGGGCCTCAGGCCCCAATAAATTAGGGCCCAAAAATTTAAATATCTTTATATTGTATAGTCGTATATAACAAGGGTCATGCTCGTTATCTAGCTTAAATCGTTCGTTACCGAAGTAACAAAACTAGCAAAACAATAGAGTTATCAACTAAGTAGTGAAGTACAAATCGGAACTACCGAATTTGTTGATATGTCATTGCTTCCAAAAAATTATACCTCTTCCGTCCTACAAAGAAGTTCTCACTTTCTTTTTTTAGCAGTCCCAAAAAGCTCCCCTTTCTTTAAATGACAAGTTATCTACATCAAGACAGTGTCAAACACTGCAAAACAGTGTCAAACAATGCCAAACGGTGTTGAAACAGTAAAATTTATCCCTGGTAAGTTTATTTCTTTAAATGATAAGTTTATTTACATCAGGAACTTCTTTGCGGGGCGAAGGGAGTATCTTTTATATTGATTTGCTAATTTGATGAATTATCAAATTTGGAATGACGAAATGAACTACTCCGTAAATTATACTCCCTACTATACTTCATATATTTCTATTTTCTACTTGCTATAATTATTGACTAATTTTTATATTATTGCCTTATTGGTTTGGATTTATAGTATATACACATATAAATGCTATTTATAAATTCAAAACAAGTTTATTCTTGCTTGTTCTACGAAGTAATCAAGTGGAGTTGTGCGGTTGTGCCTTGGTGAAATTTTTATATTTGTGAATTGAAATCTATTTTTTACTTAAGGCTATCAAGATTAAAAATTGTGGAATTTTCAATTCATAATTAATCAAACTATATGCTTTATATTTAGTACCAAAAACTGAAAGTGTAAAATTCTTCATTGTTTGATGTATTCTTTACTAGAGGAAACAAAACATACGATCGATGTGATGGATTATTTGAAATGGATGGATGCTTTCCTAATGTGTGCATTGCATATAAAATCTTATTAGTTGTACCCGTGATAGTAGTAAGTGCAGAAAAGTTTCTCAAAACTGAAGCATATAAAGACATTCTTACGATCAACCATGTCTAAGAAGGTTGAATAAATTAGATATGTTATTAGTTGAGAAGGAATTTATTAAAAACATACGTTAAAATTTTTTTATTTGGACTGATTTCAGTCCCGAATCGGACCATATCAGACCAGACCAAACCTTGACAACTGTAAAACACACAGAGACCTGACAATTACCAAATCAAATCACACCAATTCAGACTGGACTAGATCAACCATGACCAAACCAGACCAAAAAATTCATTCCAAGTAAAAACATATTTATGCCGAATTGATTTATATTTTTGCATCTAAAACTGTTTGTCGATTTGTACTTAATTATTTGTTTTAATAAATTCATTATCGTTATTTATAATGTAAGAATTCTATCTAAGAATTGAGCTTTTGTGGTATTAATCTTTTATTTTCAAATATGTTGCATCACAAACATATACTACGTATAAGGATCTTTAATGAAGCTCTACTCAAACTCAAGTTTATGTAGGTTGAACACTGCTCCTAATGGACAAAAATGAACGAAGCTATGAATACCATTTCATCATCCAACAGCACTACTGATGTGGTTCAAATGGGCATTAAGGACTTCGGAGCACGGGCGGATCCATGATTGAGAGGTGGGGTGGACTAATCGGTATTTTTTTTACTATATATATCAATGTTCTAAAAGGCGCTAGCCGCTAGTCAGGTGCCAGTCCAGCGCCTAGCGCCTAGGCGGCTAGGCGGACGCCTAGGCGGGGACTAGTCAGAGACACATAAATATGATCAGTAATACATAGTAAACCGGTAGTATCGTGTTTGTGTGTGCATGAAAAATATATACTCGCGCATTAACATGCATGAACGATAGAATTGTCACATGCAATAATATATGATAACTAATCACTTAACTGCATTATGTAATAAATATTAAAAAATTATAAAATTTAAGTAAATATACAGAAATATATATGTCGTAGTAATTTTTATCTTAATATACAAGTATCTTTCTTCATATTTGTGATTAAAGTTGAAGGTACATATAAAAAGAAATTAGAAAACAAAAATTGTTCAACGAATCTAGATGCCCTAGGCGGCGATTAGGCGCTTAGGCGGGAAACTAGGTGCCATAAGCGCCAAATCAATTAGTCGGAGCGACTAAGCAAAAATCGGGGCGCCCAGCCACCGCCTAGCGCCTAGGCGGTAGGGCAGAGCACGGGCCGGGTTCGGGCGGGTCGGGTTCAAAAATGGTAAACCCGTTCGGGTATCGGATTGATAATTTCAAACCCTACCCGATCAAAAAATTTATCGGGTTTTTCGGGTTGAAGAAGTTCGGGTTGATTAGGTTTTCGGGTCCATTCGGATTTTAATTTATTATTATTATTGAAATTGTGATAAATAAAATTGTACTCCCCCCGTCCCGCTAAGATTGTCCCATTTTACCTTTTCGGGAAGTCCCACTAAGATTGTCTCATAC